CTAATCTTCTACCTACTTATTTAAATTATTGAGGGAGGAACTTTTAAATCTGACCATAATTGTGGAATATTCTATTTTTTCTTGTAGTACCATCGGTTTTTGCTTCATGTATTTTATATTTCTTATATTGGGTGTATCAGCATTTAGGCTTGTTATATTCTCTTGAAGAATTGACCCCGTATGATTATGAAATGATCCTCTTTATTGCAGGTAATATTTTTTACTCTGAAATCTGCTTTGTCTGACATTCTCTCTAGCTTTCTCCTGCTTAGTGTTAACATAGTGTATCTTTTCCCATTCTTTTATTTTTGACCTATTTCTGGGATTATATTTAAAGTATATATTTATATATTTTATATATATATATATATATATATATACAATTTTTTTAAAAAATTTTATTTATTTTAGAGAGACAGCACGAGAAAGGGGAGGAGCAGAGGGAGAGGGACAAGCAGACTCTGCCCTGAGGGCAGAGCCTGGTGCAGGACTCGATCCCAGACCCAGAGTTCATGACCTGAGCCGAAATCAAGAGTCAGACCCTTAACCGACTGACTCACCCAGGCGTCCCTAAAGTATATTTCTTGTAGACAGCATATAGTTAGGTCTTTCTTTCTTATCCCTTTTGACCATCTCTGTCTTTTGATTGGGATGTTTACACTATAGAAATTTGAAATTTAATATTAATATTGGTGTGTATCTTGCAATTTGCTTGTGATTTGTCCCATCTGTTCCATTTTTACTTTTTTGTCATCTTTTGCATTGAGTAGGGGTTTTTTTGTTTCTATTTTCTATTTTTTGTTTTTATTTCTATTTTATCCCTTTTGTTGGCTCCTGGCTGGCTTCATCGGTGGAGCGCGCAACTCTTAATCTTGGGATTGTGAGTTTGAGCCCCATTTTGGGTGTAGAGAGTCCTCTAAAAGAGTAAAATCTTTAAAAAAAAAAAAAAAAGGAATATCCTTTTGCAGTATTCTCTTAGTGGCCGCTTTAGGCCTGGCAAACTTTGGCCTTTGGCCAATTCTCACCTGCTGCCTGTTTTTATAAATTAAATTTTTTTAAAGATTTTATTTATTTATTTGACACAGGGAGAGAGATCACAAGTAGGTAGAGAGGCAGGCAGAGAGAGAGGGGGAAGCAGGCTCCTCACCAAGCAGAGAGCCCAATGTGGGTCTCGATTCCAGGACCCTGAGATCATGACCTGAGCTGAAGGCAGAGGCGTTAACCCACTGAGCCACCCAGGCACCCCTAAATTTTGGTTTTGATTGACTATTTACCTTCTGGTTACGAATTGCATTTTTTCTTCTTTGTATACCTATTAATTCTTTTTTTTTTTTAAAAGATTTTATTTATTTATTTGACAGAGAGAGATCACAAGTAGATGGAGAGGCAGGCAGAGAGAGAGAGAGGGAAGCAGGCTCCCTGCTGGGCAGAGAGCCCGACGCAGGACTCAATCCCAGGACCTGAGATCATGACCAGAGCCCAAGGCAGCGGCTCAACCCACTGAGCCACCCAGGCGCCCTACCTATTAATTCTTAACTGAACACCATATATTTTCCATTTTATTTGTTGGGTGCTTTTGTAGTCCTGCAAATTCTTGTGGTTTGTTTTGCAGTTAAGTTCCTCGGAACCAGTTGGATTCTTTCAAGTCTTGCTGTTAAATGTTAATCAGCTGACAACTGGCCAGCATTTGATCTAGGGGTGATTTTGCTCTATGTGTGTGGCAAAGCTCTTTGCATACTCTCTCTTCTAGGAATTATAAAGCTTTCCACTCTGATGCGTGGGAATAGGAGCTATTCCTGTGCCTGTGTTCAGGTGTTATTGTTCACTTAATTCTTCTGGTTGATTTTTTCCACAGCCTTGGGTGGTGTTGTCATATGTGTATCCTGATCAATACTCAGGAAACCACCTGAGGGGAACTCCGAGCAGGTCCCCCTCTTTCTCTGTGTGGTTCTCTTTTCTGGTTCTCTGCTTTGTGAACTCTAGAAGCCTGGTCTTTCTGGACTTCCTGATTCATTTCCTCAACTCAAAGAGGATGGCCTGGATTCCTCCTTCCTGGGCTGTGGCCTGGAAACTTCTCCAGGCTGTAAGCTGGGGGTCATTTTACTGCCCACCCATTTGCTTCCCACTTCTCGGGGATCCCCATTCTATGTTGCTGCATGTCCAGTGCCCGGAAAACCATCGTTTCATATATTTTGTCCGTGTTTAACTTCTGCTTCCGCAGCTAGGAGGGCAAATCCAGTCCCATTTTGGTTGGAAATGGGAATTCAATTATCCAGAGTGATTTTTTAAAAAATCTTATTTTTCTGGTTGTTGTCCTCCAGAAGCTTGCTTACGTGCAGCTGGTTCTACCAAAGCCAGAAGCCCAAGTGTTTGATCTTCTTTTGAGTCAGGAAACTTTTTTCCTTCCCCCAGGGAAATGGCCTTCCATTTACCTTTAAAAAAAACAAGAAGCCCCCTTTCTTTGCTGTTTCCTCTGCTGTCGCTTTCAGTTGCTCCATAGACTTTTAGAAACAAAAGCTAGGAAGCCTTGCCTGGGCTGCTTTCTGATTTGTTCTCTCTAGTTTCCTTAAAGAAAAAATACCTAGCCATCCATCTCCTAAATGGGTTTGGGGTGGGGGGTAGGGAGAGAAGGGAGGAAAGGAATAAATATAGTGTATATTTATCTCTCAGATGTTTTCTAGCCAAACATTTATTCTGCTTCTTTTACTTCATTCTCAACCTGAGCAAATTAGGTCAGATTGCCACCTCCCCATTATTTCATGCCTTGGTCTGTTGGGTCCTTACCCTGGGCCAGACTTAGGAAGAAGAAACCCAGCTTGGAGCGTAAGGGCCCGGGCTTATGAGACCAACTGTGTTCAAACACTGGCTGTTTCCCTGAAGGGCTGTGTGATTTGGGTGAGTGAGTAGGCCTCAGTTTCCTCGTCTCTGAAGCTGGTTCATAAAAGCACCTCCTGAGGGGTCCCTGCTGGCATCGGGTTTCCCTGTCTGAAAAGCAGTTTTGTGTTTCCAAAATTTCAGAGACTAAGAAATGGGCCTTAAAGAGTTTCTGTGCAACCTCACCCCCACATCCCATCTTCTTTCTTTCTCTTGGCTCTCTTTTTTCGACTTCTGCACACATTTTCTCTGCGAGGGTTTGGACTTGGGTGTTGAGATAATATGGCTCAGTGTTGTGCACATCCTACAGAGTCGGGATGGACCCCCATCCAAAACCTGGCTTGAATGTCAAGACTGGTGATGCCGCACACTCATCAGGATGATATGAGAAGGTTTATTACTCACATAATGAGGCTTTCTGGGGAGAGCAGAGTAGGCTTCCTCATCTGGCCCCAAAATGCCTCGAGAGAGAGGAGGGAGAGACACTTGGGGTTTTACTGTGGTCAGGAAGTGGGGCTGGGGTGAGGGTCAGGGTTTGTATGGTTTAAACTTCTGGCCTGTACCTCTAGGCCTTCTCATCAGTTTACCCGATGTGGGGCAGAAAGAGAAGAGGGAGGGCTAAGGCTTAATAGCTGTCAGCAGACCAACGTCGAAAAATAAAGTCCGATTATGTTACACTCAGAGGTTGGAGTTGATAATTAATCTGCTGTACAGAGAGCTTCTCTCTGTGGAGCCTTAGCAATTGTCCCACATGTGAGAGCTTCTCTCAGATGAGGGGAGGGGGCGGAGGAGAGCAGGAACTTTATATATTATTTATACACCACAACCCCGACATGTACAATTTTTTTTTTAAAGATTATTTATTTATTTATTTGACAGAGAGAGAGATCACAAGTAGATGGAGAGGCAGGCAGAGAGAGAGAGAGGGAAGCAGGCTCCCTGCTGAGCGGAGAACCTGATGCGGGACTCGATCCCAGGACTCTGAGATCATGACCTGAGCCGAAGGCAGCGGCTTAACCCACTGAGCCACCCAGGTGCCCCGACATGTACAATTTTAAGTTTGTTTTCTTTTTTTTCTTTTTAAAAAGATTTTATTTATTTATTTGATAGAGACACAGCGAGAAAGGGAACACAATCGGAAGGAGTGGGAGAGGGAGAATCAGGCTCCCCACTGAGCAGGGAGCCAGATGCGGGGCTTGATCCCAGGACCGAAGGCAGACACTTAAGGACTGAGCCACCCAGGAGCCCCTGAGGTTAATTTTCCATAAATGATCCCCTTGTGTTTTTTAACCCCATATCTGCACAAAGCAGAAACCTAACTTACACTTGTCTTGCACTGTGCCCAGACAGCAAGTCCCAGTCTGGGCTTTCGCTCCCTCTCAGGCTGTTATGGCACTTGACTGAGGTGTGAGTCTGGGCTGAGGATAAGAGCCCATTTCCTCTTCCTAGTGGCTCTAGAATGGTTTTGTGTCCCCTTCCTACGTGGCAAGACTGTCTTCCCTGCCAGATCCTCCCTCTTCCCTGAGACAATATGCTTCAAGGATGTGACCAAGTCCCACTAGTTTAAGAGTTGGGGCAAGGGTTGGGGGTGGGGTGGGGAATGCCTGATAAATTACCAAGAGGGAAAGAAAGTAAAAGGAATATTTTTTTAAAAGATTTATTTATTTATTTATTTGACAGAGAAATCACAAGTAGGCAGAGAGGCAGGCAGAGAGAGAGGGAGAAGCAGGCTCCTCGCTGAGCAGAGCGCCTGGATGTGGGGCTTGATCCCAGGACCCTGAGATCATGACCTGAGCTGAAGGCAGAGGCTTAACCCACTGAGCCACCCAGGTGCCCTGTAAAGGGAATATATATTTTTTTAATTAGTTTCATGTTTATCTCCTGTCAAAAGGCAAGTTTCTCTTCTATTCCACTTAAAATAAAACATTAGGGGACACCTGGCTGGCTCAGTGGGACTCTCGATCTTGGGGTTGTGAATTCAAGCCCCAGGTTGTGTGTGGCAATTACTTAAAAACATAGTCTTGGAAAAACAATAAAACAAAAACAAAATAAAATTTAGCACGGAGAATTGACAAATGTAGAAAACAAAGAGCACTTTGAAGTTTTATTTTGTTTTTGTTGTTTAGGTTTTACTGCTGCATATCCAACACAATCCTCCATTCCTTTTAAAAGCCGGACTTCAACAATTCCAGAATCAGAAAAAAAGGGATTCAATAGTCAAGCCAAGAGATTTTATTATAAAAAGGTAATGACATACTTTTAAGTCTGGGTTTGAGCCAGGGTCACCAGTCGGGCTGGCACAGTTGCCCCTAGGACCAGTAGAGGGCGGTGTCACCCAAGGAGCCACAGCCTCCTCTCCAATTGTAGGCTCCGACTGAATTAAAAGAATGAGTTGGGAAGGTATCAGATTCAGGGAGAACAACAGTGTCTGGATTTATGGTGCCACATCGAACCCACCCCAAATTTTTTTTAAGAAGAACTGTATTTTAAAATTTATTGTAAAAATATAAAATTCAAAAATGGTGGTATGTGAAGTAAAAAGGAAAATCCTTTTCTCTCCCCTTTCCCCCAGCTTCACTCCCTCTGACAGGAGAGGAAATAACAAAGTTTTCCTTAAATAACATGCTAATAAAATTTAAATTACCTTTGTGATGAAGGCCCCCCTCTTTAACGGAGTATTATTACGGTTCCTGTTCTCACCCTCTTCCCCACATATTTCTATGTCCCTTTTCCTCTTTGATCTGAAAAATTCTGCTGGGATCCTGGTCCTCAGGCAGCTTAGGATTTCACTGGCTAAAGGCCCAAGGGTCTAACCTTCTCCTCCTTCACCAGTGGGGGAGCTGAAGTCCCTCACGGACGTCCTTAGAATTTTTAAATTCCTTCGTTCATTTAACCAAGATATTTACAATAACCTTCTTTTGAAGGAGTCATCCTCTTCAGCTACCTTTTCCTGCATTCTGAAAATGTTTTTGATCTTATAACCTTACCAAGATGGTGGAGAGGGAAGGAGGAGATGTAGCTTCTGAAGGCAAGTGAGTCAGGAAGGACTTGGGAGGGCAGGGGTTGCTCAGCAAGCCCCTTCGCCCATAGGCCTGTTCCTGCTTTGTTTTTTGTTTTTAAGATTTTATTTATTTATTTGACAGACAGAGATCACAAGTAGGCAGAGAGGCAGGCAGAGAGAGAGGAGGAAGCAGGCTCCCCGCTGAGCAGAGAACCCGATGTGGGGCTCGATCCCCGATCCCAGGACCCTGAGATCATGACCTGAGGCTTTAACCCACTGAGCCACCCAGGCGCCCCCCTGTTTCTGCTTTGTAAACAAGAATGCTAAAGGATGGAATGTTTAAGTTCCTTAAGTTTTAACATTTTAGGATTCTAAGCAAATAGTAAAGAATATAATGCATGTGTATACACACGTGCATACACACACACACATTTTTAATTACTTGAAAGTCTTCCCCAAAGATGATAAATAAGGTATTTGCTCAGGAGTTTTTTCTCTTCTTCCTCTAGTTTCGCGCGTTTTGCATGTCCCTCCGTCCCTCTGTCTGTCTCTTCTGTGTGGTATCTCATTTGTCAGGCCAGTGATAACTATTGTCCATCTCTAGAACACTTGCAATTCCAATAAAAATAATAGCAGCTACCATTGACTGATGCCTACTATGTGTGCAGTCATTTTTAGACCATATCTCTAATCCTCAGAACAATGTTGAAAGGAAGGGTTTATTATCTTAATTTAACAGGAGAGGAAATTGAGGCTTAGGAAAGTTAAATGACCCACCCAAGGTCATATAGCTCAGGGCTTGGCCCATAAGAGGCCCTACATAAATATTTGCTGAATCAACATGGAAAGAATTAGATGTCAGACCCAGGTCTAGCTCACTCCAAAGCCTCATGTTCTTTCCACACACCACCACACCCCCTTTTGTGGCCTGCGAAGCCACACTTTTGATTTATGAAAGTCAGCAGTATGTTTCTGAATAGACCTTAGCAAAACACCCCAAACTCAAGAGAGGGAAAGATGTCAAGCAAGGAGCGTCACCGCCATTCTACATGATCTAGTTCTGAAGACTCAAATCCAGAAACCAAATGGGCTGGCATTTCGAGTAAGCATTTCAGCAACTATTGCCCTTCAGAAAAGTTTCTGTTGAAGGAACCAAGATGGCGGCCAGCCAAAGCTACAGGCAGCATTAAATAGAGAAAAGAAATCGCTCAGAAGTTCGATTCGCACTTTCCAAATGGGGCCATGTAGGTTTGTCAATGTGGAAACTCTAAGTACTTGAAAGCCTTCTGTAAATAAGTATGTAAATAATTTTGTGGCAAGAGCATGGGGATCCATAAGTCAGGGTCCCTGCCTTCTGCCCCATTAAAGAGCTGTGTGCCTTTAGACTGGTCACTTGGAATTTCTGAGTTTCAGTTTCCTCATCTGAAACGTAAGGAAGATTTGGGCTATATAATTTTTTAGGCTTTTGAAGCTGTAAAAAGGGGGAAAAAATGTTCTTGTCCCATGCTCATTATTCTCATTTTTCTTGAGGGACACGGACATTGAGAAGTTAAAGATGTTGTTTAACATCACCCAATAATTTAGTGAGGCAATACAAATTAAAAACAGATTTTAAAACTCTGGTGTTTCACCACCCTTCTTAGAACATTAATCGTCCACACCCTGTGCCTGATCTCATAACTTGGTTGTATCCTCACATTAGTTCCGTGACCCATTTAACACATCTTTAACACAGAGAATCAGAGTCTTGTGAAATGCGCACTTACCTTATCAGTCCAACCTTGTGGGGAAACATGGCCCAGCTCACATATCCCATATAACTCCGAGCCCTGGCCACAAGGAATCCTTCCCAGAGCTTGGCGTTGTGACTGGCAATTTGCGCTGCTAGAAATGAAGTCTGCTTTCCTGCACATTTTGCAATTATTTACGGAGGTGCTGGTGACTCCATGTACACGAAGAAACATGCCTCATGTGGGATAGAACAGAGCCCAGGGGCCTGATGGACATTTTCTTCCTCCACCTCCCTGTTTCCCATTTGCCTCTGGACAGTGGTCATGCTTTCCAGGCTATGTAACACTGATAATGTCTTCGCAGCCCACTAAGAGCAAGGATGTTATAATAGGCTCTCTGGGGCTTACTGTTCCATGATTCTAAACCTGACTTATCCCTTCCAGGCTCCGGTGAATGAATGCTGGTGGCATAGGGGCCCTGTAGTCTCTAGATGGGCACCATTTACAAATATATGTTGGTTTTATGTGTAGCCTGACAGTAAATCCACCTTCCCAGATGGTAAGCAGGCTCATGTTTAATTTGTGATGGAACAGTATAAAGTGAATACTGTTTCACTCACTAACTTGACAAGGCATCGGACCTGGGTGTTTTACACGTCAAGGAGATTTAAGTGAAAGGAAGTTCAGTTTGCCAGGACCACCATGTTCAAGGGGATAATTAGCCCAAGTGTGCACACAGCTGCGTGTTTGAACCACAACAGGCTCTGCCTGACCTTTCTGCTCCAGAAGCCCGACTGCTCCCCGGGGGGTCACCAGCACGCCGTCCTAAGGAGTCTGCACTCCCTGTTCCTGGAAATAACAAATACTTGGTGGGCACTGGAGGCACACCAGGTGCCCCCTGAAGACCTTTGCATTTATTAACCCAGACTCCCCATAATCACCCTGTGAGCGGAGTCTCATCATCATCTCTGCTTTTGACATAATGACCCAGAGACTTGAGCACAAGAGGCTTGGGTGTCTTGCACGGCCAGGCTCAGGCAGAGCGAGGACAAGCCCAGGAGACAGCTCCTGGTTCCCAGACACTGTTCCCTGTGTCTCCTGGGGATGGAAGGAGGGATGCCCTCCTCTGTGCTCTGACAGCTGCTCCCGTGCCCCTGTCTGCCTTCTGCTTGGTCTGATGGCAGTGGGTGTGTACGTCGAGTCCCTCCGTCCCATTCCAGAACATGAGAGCTGCTAACAGGCAGTGCTATTCCCTTGCTGCTTTGCCTGAGCTCTGGTCCGCAGTAGCCTTTCGTACACGTCTGCTGAGTTGAGTTCTTGCTGATGTGCTGCTCAAGGGATTTCAAGGGGCTGCTAATAAGCGGACACTAGATTGGAGCCAGAGGAGGCTCTGAAAGAGAAGCAGGTGGCTCTCGGGGACCATACCCACAGTAACCAAGGCTTCAAAAATGCGGGATTGACTGCTTTTGCCTGACTGTGTTTCCAGCTGTGCCCAAACAGCTGGGACCCATTTCATCTGTCCAGTAGCCGCGTCCCTCCGCCCTGGCTTCCCCACACTTACTTGAGTGGCTCAGAAACAATCTCAAGAGACCTCATCCCGTTTTCCGGCTTTCTCCCTTAGGGCTTCCAGGGACCCTTCACTGCTGACGCCCTCCCCCATTCTGAACAAAACAGTGAGGCTTTCTTGCGTGGAGTGTGCTTGCTGCCTCTCTCTCCCTTTTCAGCCGTGATCAGAGCGGGGGAACTTTGATGCCAGACAGAAATAGATGTGGGGTGAGGCCGGGAGGGAGAGAAGGCAGGAAGGGTGAGGGGCATCTTACAAGGGGCCCATCTCAGAGTGAGAGACGGTTTGGACCAGAAAGGCTTCAGTGACCTGGAATCCCTGGGCTCAGCAGAAGGGCCCTTTCTGTGACAGTGTCTCATAGTGAAAGCCACCGGTGGGCCAGGTAAGGACGCACTGCCGCTGGGAGCTGCTGCCACCTCCGGCCCCCTTTCCTGGGCGGTGGATACCAGGGATGTGGTCTGAACACCACAGATCTTGACACCCACATGCACGGCCTTGCAGGTTCATAGATGAGGGGCCTCAGGTCCAGGGAGGACATGTGTCCTGGGGGCAGGTGCCTGCTCTCCCACCCTGCAGTCTGTGCTGTCCTCATCCCTTTGGCCGTGTCAACCTGAGTAAAAGCTTTCTGGCTTCCATGAAGTCAACAGGGTTGATGGACACATTGTCCTGAGACCCTAAGACTAAAGGCATCTGTAAAAGGAAATTATTCCCTCAAGAGCCCCAAATCTCTGTGTGGTTTCACCAGTGGATTAACAGCAGCCCCAGGCTCTGCTTCCACCTCAGACATGTCCTCCTCCTGTCAGATACTTCAAAGCCCTTCCACAGACCCCTAGATTTCATTCATCTTGTGCCCCCCGAGAAACGCCAGCTCACCAGCCCCCAAAAGAGACCAAAGCAAGGTGGAGTATCTCTGAAGGGTCAAAGGCAGCTCTAGTAGGGTCTTTAGCCAAGGATCCAACAGAGACTACATTTCCCAACCGAAGGAACAGTTTCACAAACTATTCATTTGAAAAATACTGATTGGACAGAATTTAGGAACTCAGCCCTAGAAAATTCAGGCTTTGTAACAGGCTCCAAGCTGGGGGACTTCAAACTTCCTGTAACCTAGTTTATATCTGGGTGGGGGAGGGGGAGGTACATGACCTTCTCCCTGTTGTTTCCTTCTCATTACCTGTCCAGCCTATCCCAGGATCAAGTCAACGGAGACCTTTGTCCCACCCTTGGCACCTGCAGGGGCTGCCGTTTGGCATTCTAATCCTTCAGAAGGTCTCTCAAAGTGCATTTCAATCAAATGTCCCCAGATGTGTGTTGGGTCAAGGGGTGGGAACACATTCGACAGTCCTCCCCGGTCAGTCCCACTCTCAAGGTCTTTAACCCCCATGGGAAGGTTTGGCTCCACTGCTCCACTCCATTTCTTGGCAATGCCAAGAAGAGTGGCCACACACTGGCTCTCACCCCTTTGTGTATCAACTCATTTAATCCTCACGCTGTGGGGCAGGTCTGGGAGACAGCAGTACATCGGCCACTCAGCACCGGGCAGGCAGGTGGTCGAGCTCATTCTTTTCCTTTCTCCCTCCCCACACCCATTTATGCTTCGTTTGTTTATCTGGTTTTTGCCCATTGGGGTGGTCTTGGCTAAGAAACCGAAGGTGGCTAAGATTACCCCAATGGCAACCTGGATTCTTGTTTCAGAAATGCACTCTGAGAAGTCTAAACTCACTCAAAAACTGTTATCCCGGAAGTGAAACATCCTGGATATTTATGACCCTCCCAGCCGGCCACTCACCAGCCCTCCTAGCACTCAGGGAGAAAGGCCTGAAAGCTCTGCCATTGGAGGTTTCCCTCTGAGGAGCCTAGAAACCTACCTGCCTGTCCTGCGAAGATAACGGTGTGCTGGTAAACCAGCTCTCTCCTCTGTGAAGGAAAGTTCTAATTTATAGCATTTGCCAATTGCTGGGGAGTAAATACTCCCACCCTGCCTTCAAGCTACCACGAGGAAGATCTCTGACATTCTAACCATCACCCTCTGGAGCTGCCATGGGCCAGCTCTAGCCTACCGCTGCCTACACGACTCTTCTCAGAGATTCCTTAAGGGCCAAAAGGCAGCCCTCTCTCCCTCCAGGCTGTAAGGTGACAGCCCTCTTTGTACTTGGCCCGGACTCAAACCAGTTTGCAACACAGCAGAATTAAAACGTGATCAAGGATTTCGATTAAATGACAACCGACTATTTTAGTATAAGTATGTCCCAAATACTGCATGGGATATACTTACACTAAAATAGCTTTTGGTTATTTAGCTGAAATTCAGATTTAACTGGGCAAGGCGGGAGGGAGCTGCTTTGTGTGTCTTGAATTTTAGGAGGCAACTCCATCTCCTTAGACATGTCGTGTGGGTGCCCGGAAAACGTGTGTGAACTGATGGAGGTGTTGAGGGTGGCAGGGGGACCGAAAGCCAGAGGTGCACGTCTTCCTTGTTCGCTGCTTAAACCTGGAAGAGTCACAGTGACATGCCCTGCTTCAGCTCCTCGTTGATTTAGGGGCTCTCAAAACTAAGAAGCACCCAAAGGCTTTGAGTCTGACGTCTCTGATTTACAAATGAGGAAACTGAGGCCCCGTGATGTGACTTGCTTCAGGTCACTTAGCTAGTTGCAGCACTGAGAATAAATTTCCGGACTCAAAAGTCTGGGGGTAGGGGCGCCTGGGTGGCTCAGTGGGTTAAGCTGCTGCCTTCGGCTCAGGTCATAATCCCAGGGTTCTGGGATCGAGTCCTGCATAGGGCTTCTTGCTCAGCGGGGAGCCTGCTTCTCTCTCTGCCTCTGTCTGCAGCTCTGCCTGCTTGTGCTCTCTCTCTGACAAATAAATAAATAAAATCTTAAAAAAAAAAGTCTGTGGGATTTTTTTTTCTTTTTATCCTACACATTCTCATTTGAAAGTCAGTTTGGTTTAGTGAGTAAGAGTGGATTCTATGTTTGATGGGGGTGGACAAAATAGATGAAGGGAGTCAGAAGGTAGAAAGTTCTAATTATCAAATAGATAAGTCAGGGGGATGTAATATACAGCGTGGCGACCCCAGTTAGTGAAACTGTATTGCATTTTGGGAGTTGCTAAGAGAGTAGATCTTTAAAGTTCTCATCAGAAGGCAAAAATTCTGCAACTGTATATGGCGACAGATGTTAACGTGACTTACTGTAGCGATCACTTTCCAGCGTGTACAAATATTGAATCATGCCGTATACACAAAACTAATATAATATAATGTTATGTGTCAGTTATATGTCAATTAAAAAAACTAAAAAAATATATAAAAGTATAATGTTATGTGTCAGTTATATGTCAATTAAAAAAAAAAAAGAGTAGACTTTGTACTAAGACCACCTAGGTTCAAATTCTGGCCCTGACAGTTACTAGCCATGTGACCTTGGGCCCTATCTCTTTTGGTTCTGTCTTCCCATCTTTAAAATGGGGGTTAAGGGGCACCTGGGTGGCTCAGAGGGTTAAGTGTCAGCCTTCGGCCCAGGTCATGATCTCAGGGTCCTGGGATGGAGTCCCACATCTGGTCCCACCCTTAGCAGAGAGTCTGCTTCTGCCTCTCCCGCTCACTTCCCCTGCTCGTGCTCTCTCTCTCTTGCTGTCAAATAAATAAAATCTTCAAAATAATGAATGAATTAATTAAAATGGGGATTAAACAAGTTGCTGCGTGTAAAGTACTCAGAACAGTGGCTGACACACAGTGAGCGGCCAGTCAATAAATAAATGCTAGCCCCACGAACAGCCCCCTAGAAAAATCTCTTCCTTGTTTCCCTGGAGCTCCTTGAATCTGCTCCCACGTGCCAATGTCTTCTGAACTTGGCCTAGGGCGCTGGTGTACCAGGTTCTGCCTCCCGTCTCATGTCTGCCCCATTCTCCCTGGTGATCAACCCCCGCTCTGCGCACCTGAGATGATCATCACCTACAAAGTGGGAATCAGTGTCCTGTACCCACCGGCTTTGAGCGATGCTCCAAGGGTTCACTGCAGTTAAAATTCAGCGCAGAGGAACCTGTTAATCTCACTGGTGGTTCTGTCTCATATATTAAACCATAATCAGATACTGCTCAGGCCAGACTGGAAAGTCCTGGAAGGCCCTGGTGGCACTTTGGGCTTTCTTTCTGCCCCAAGAAAGGTAGTAGGGACGGTGGAGGCAGGATGAGTCTTGGGGGAGGAGGTTGGAGAAACTGCAGAGACTTTGTGTTCTTCACGTCCTTAACACTTGTAGCAGTGGGATATTGGGTAAATTCATCTCCACTTGCCTCAGTGTCTCCATCTGTAAAATGGGGACAGTAACCCCTTCCTCTCGGAGGACTAAACGAAGCAACCTTTGAAAAGCTCGTACCATCAAGCTGGCACCCAGTAAACTCTCAGGACAGTGGAACATTCGTATCCTTTCATGCCACTTGCTTGGCCAACTTCTGTCAACATAATACTCCCCCCTGGTAACTAGCATGGGAAATGAGATGAAAGTTCAATTAACTGCAAAAGCAGAAACGAGCTTAGAAATCAAGCTTCTGCTTATTCGTCTCCATCATACCTGCATCATTTAGAATTTGAGCTTCTGAACCTGTCTCTCTTTTTTTTTTTTTTTTTTTTTGCGAATTAGAAACGGTCTTGTTTGGGATGAAGGTTGTTTTTGTTTCATTTTGCTTTATAAACAGAAACACTCCCTGATTTCTCTTCTGAAAGGCTGAGGAGGAAGCTGAGTCAGGTGGGTGCGGTTAATGTGAAATCAGTCATCATTCCCTCATTTTGGGCTTGCCTTCCCCAATCAGCACACACTGACTTGCGTATCAGCCACACCGAGCATCCCATCTTATGCTCATTTCTCTAACGGCATGAAAAAAACAACTGCATTCTTCTGGAACGCAGGAAGACGTGGTGCAGCGAGCCAGACCCAGGCTGGGGGTCTCAGACCCAGGCTGGAATTCCAACCTCCAGCACTTGGTAACTGAGACAGTGAGCAGGCAGGCTAGGAAATGGTGGAGCCAGCTTTCCACCAAGTGGTAGTGATGCCTGTCCCGGAGGATGACAGTGAGGCCGAGCATTAATGGTTATGAAGCTTGCAGAAAAGCACAGTGGAAATGAATGTACTGCTATGACACCCCATTCTCTTCCTTTCAGGATAGCATCCCAGGTCCGGGGTTCTACAACGTCATTCACCAATCTCCAGTGTTCGACAGTGCCTCGTTGTCTAAGAAAGGGACGTGCACTTTTCCCTCTATGGTGAGAACCTCTTTCCCGAGTAAGGCCATTAGCAGATCAGCACTTTCCTTCGTCCATTGCGTAAACACGTATTGGACCACTGGTCCCTTCTCTCCAAAGACCGTGGTTCTAATTAGGAGAGTAACTGGTGCCTCAGGTGTCATGCAGGTAAATTAGAGCCTGTGTCTTTAAGTAATTTCCCCCTCACTGCTCCACATGGCCAGAGTGAGAAGAGAGGCTAGAGGGATATTCAGAACCCGATTGTCCACATCAACTTTGTCATTGTGGAGTGGGCTAAGCAGATGTTTTCCTGAGATTTCTGGGCACCAGGGAAAAGATCTTACCCTAACAGGGTGTTTTACACCACTTGGTCTAATTGGGTTATTCAAATTATTGAGAAATCTGCCGGGAGCAAAAAGAAAGCAGGCAACAGGCTGAAATGGAGTGATCTTCCTTCCCTTCTTTGTAAGATGTGGGTCTTTATCTTTGTGGATGGCTCTAAGAATCAAGGATCTATATGAAGTGCTGATGTCCCTGACCAGACCTGGGCAAGGATTTTTTTTCTTTTGTTCTTAATTTGAGTATCTATAAATTGACAAGAAGAAGATATATAGTGAGTGAAAAGGGTCAAACTGGGGTAAAATTAGCTGAGGTAGAAAAGTGAAAAAGAAAGCAAACCCAAATTAGCATCAACAAAACACATATGCCTTCTGTCCCTTTAAAAATTACAACAATCTCTTGCAAAGATGTATTATAATGCCTGACACTGGAACGGATTTCAAAACAAAACAAAGCACCACACAAAGGGTCCATTTAAGACTCGCTGAAGGCAGTCACTTACTGGAATTTGACTTTGGCAGAGCTGACTTTAAAGTTAGCTCCCTATCAGCGGAGATGTGGAAGTCACCCATGGCCCCAGTGAACCATGCCTCTGCCTCCTTTTCTGCCCCAAACCCTGCAGATGAAGGGACCTGAAAGCAATCGGCAACAGAAGTGCCATGTCACGAAGTCTTGGCTCAGGAGACAAGACTTCAGACCTGAGCCTGACTCAGCTGAGGATTCTCGATGTGGCCTCAAGCACGTCACCCTTCTGTGTCCCGGTTACCTCATAAAAGTGGAGACTCCCTGGAGGCGCTGGGCAAATTGCAATGAGCGAAATGCTCTTTGAAACTGCGGAGTATTGTAAACATGTTAAATATTATGAGTGTTACCACCTGAGTCACCAACAAGACCTCCTGCACCTCCTAGGTTTTCTCTCTGAGAAATTCTCTACCGCAGAGTGGCACAACCCACTCCTGCTTGGTGCCAAAGAGGGGATCAAATGAGAGCACACGACCAATTCCCTGCTAGGCTTTGTGCACAATAACTTTCCAAACGACGAGGCTGAGCCCTCTGGAGGAGAAGAGGCCCAGGGGAGGGTCCGAGTTTTACAGAACCTAGTCAGGCCTGTCAGGTCTTTAAAAAATTCAGAACAAACCCAAAAGAAAGCAGACATGGAGTTGTGCAGGCTTCCTGTCCCTGCTTTGATGGATGAGAATTTATATTTATAGATATTTAGATTCCTGTAACCAGCTTGCAGTGGCCCATGGAGATCTGTTAGGAGACCCCACATCTTAGCTATTTCCTTTCTGCGCCGATGTGAATTTCATGCCCCCCCCATACCCTTAGTGACTTTCACATTTGACACCTCCTCCATTTCTGGATCTGAGGACTCTGAGGGTAGGAAAAGGAGACCTCCTCGGAGGAAGATCTGCCGGACTGACACTGGTATAGTCAGGAGGAGGTGATTGTAGGTGAGGCTGACTAAGAAACTCTATGGATCCATAAATTCTAGAAACTTCCTGATGACTTTTGGAACCACTACACCCAATCTTCAGAGAGGACCTGTCATCTTGCTAAGTCCAAATAATTTAAAGAGCTTCATTAATGTATTCTAAATCTTTGTTCCAGGATTATTCATGAGGCTGACAGGATGTTAAATGAAGCCGCTGGGAGGAGACTTTCATAGCCTTTCTGTTTGCATGGTGGCAGGAGTGGTTCTGGAAAAATTAGTAGGTGCTGGAGAGAGGTTCACAAATGCCGGCATGTAGCCAGATTGGAGCCCACAGGTCCGGCAATGAAAAGAAAGTCAAGATCGTGTGAATTAGTGTTACTTTGAGACAAATTCTATTATAATGCTTTATGAAAATTGGCTTCAAATGAACAATTAGAACAATTTTTTCCTACAAGTATGTTCACAAGTATTCTAAGCCGAAAAGATTTTATGATCTAGTAAGTTTCAGAAAGGCTGGGTAAGTGAAGTTAGGTTTGTTTATGGAAGGACTTCTCACGATACTTAACACGGTGGGCTTTATGGTGAGCCTTCAACGTGGGAACATAGTATGAGGCTTCTTAAGTTTGTTTGACTCTGGAACTCTCTCCCTGCTGCTGCCATCACCAGCACTAACCTATCTTATAAAACTGGTATGCCAAGGAACCCTTCGGGAAATAGTGTTTTTGAAAAGTGTGCTTGCCTCATCTGTTGGGTGAATCAGGATAGACATGCTACAAACGGGACCCCTGGGGGGTGGTTTCACCTTACCAGCCTTTACCAGCCTTTACCAGCTTTCCTCTGTGGAAGCAAAAGGGAAAGATGTGCCTATCCTACTGGGCAGAAGAGAGAGAGGGTAGAGATTCCCCTTGAACTAGAACATCCCACAGTCATTCATCAGCTGCCCATCCTGTAAATGAAACATGTATTGCTTTATTCTTTTTTACTTTTTCCCTTTAGAATGAGATAGCTAATCTATATCACATAATGGGGACAGATTGGTGACAATGTTGGTTCCACCCCTCGAATGGCAGACAAAGCCCAGTGTCCTATCCGTAAAGTGAGGATAATCATAATATCCACTCCCCAGGCTTTTCAAGAAAATTAAACACAACAGCCCATGGAAAGCATTCCATTAACTATTGCCCAAAATGCAAAGAGCTTAGAGGGCTGGGGTAACCTTCCTTCTGGGAGCATGAGTGAATCCTGACCATTAGAGAAGGCTGACTGGGACTTGAATCCAGGTTAGACTCTGAACAGCTGAGACTCTGGATAAGAACGTGTTTGCCCCCGGGAGCTCGTCCACCCGTATACCATCAGTGTTCCACAGACTAGACGTTGAGAACCACTGCCATGAAACTCAGGGTGAGGAGCTGGTGGGAGGGAGGGTCCATGCCTCTTCACAGCCTCACCCACTTTCTGTGTTTGTGTAGTTACTGACCCCTAGTCAGCTGAGGTGTTCTCAAGCTTTTAACCATAAAATAATGAGAATTTTTTGTTTGTCTGTTTTATCAGGCTCCGATACTTGCCATACTATCCTAGGGTAAAGCGATGTTATCACCTAGTTTCTATGGCTTTTGCCCCTTTTCATTTGGCAAACATTGATTCTGCTTGCTTTATTTCTTTTCTTTTATCTGAAAATAGTTTATGATGACTTCCTGGAAGGAGTAGGATTGGTTCTACTGAAAGAGAAAAAAAAATTGTAAGGTTCTATGCAATCAGCAATTAGGGGGTGCCTGGGTGGCTCAGTTGATAAGTGTCTGCCTTCAGCTCTGGTCATGATCCCTGGGTCCTGGGATAGAAACCCCGCATCCAGCTCCCTGCTCAGCAGGGAACCTGCTTCCCTGTCACCCTCTGCCCCTCCCCCTGCTCATGCTCTCTCTCTCTCTCTCTCAAATAAATAAATAAATCTAAAATGAAAAAAGAAATCAGCAATTAGGTGGAGGGTAGGAGGCATGGTTGGACAGCAAGCCCTATCGACCCATGTACCTTTAAGACATTCGAAGCAAACTTGTTATTTAAGCAATTCAGATTACTTAATCTTAGAAACAAGACATGAGGTTTTACTCAGAAGGAAAGCCTTGGCTGGAGGAAGAAAGTTTAAAGCTTCCCATCATATAAATTACCCAACAGTTGATGAGTCAAGGGTATGTGGCTTGAAACGGGATTGGGTGGCAATGCATTTATGGCAAAATTATTTTTGCCGAGTCCCAAATATTAGATGAATAAGTTGAGTTAGTTTACAGAAGTCAGAACAGGTCAGAACTTGCGTTCTCCAAGAGCAAATCCTCAAAGCCTGAGGTCAGTTTATCATTGCTCCTTGCAGGAGTTTCAGCCCTCTCACAATGCCTTTAGACCTAGTGCTGGCCACCATTCCTTTGACATCTGTCCCGTGGAGCCCAGAGATTATGTGAGAGTGCTGATTCCTTTGGTTTTGTCCTTGCAGCGCGCCCGGTTGGACACTATCATTTCTCGATACCCTGCAGCGAACGCATACACTATCCCATCCAGTCTTGTCTCGAAGAAAGACTTCAGTAATTCCTGTTCCAGCATGTTCCAGTTGCCAAGCTTTGCCAAAGTCCTCAAATTTGAAACTCCTGCACCAAACCAGTATAATGTAAGAACGTTGCACGCGCTTGTTAAATATATACTGGATGAATTCTTTACTAAAATAAACGAAGGCGGGGGACGCTTTGGGAAATAGCGTTCCAATGCAATTGACAAACCAGTTAGTGTTTGTTGACTGCCCAGCAGGTACAGAAGGCTTCACATGGCTTTATGGGGAATTTGCAGAACCCAGAGAAAAATGTGAGCAACACGGAGGTCAGTGGGAAGCAGTGGGAAGACCTTGCCCTGGAAAATACTATAATTACTCCTACTACAGAGACTTTCTGGGACATATTCTCATCTGTAACAATTATTATTTCCCACATTATCTGTGTCACTATCCATTTACTTCTTAGGCTTTTATAGGGAAAATAAGCTTCCATATTTTCATATCAGAAATTGGATTTTTAGCAGTAATGTTCTGCCACTTGCAATCACTTTGTAGTCATGGAAGCAGAAGGGTGTGATTAATGGTTAAGAGACAGAGTCAGGTTCAAGTGGATGCTGCCCTTTTCTGACTGTGTGGATCTGGGCATGTCCCTTCAGCTTTCAGGACCCAAGTTATTGATCTGCAAAATGGGGAAATGTGTCTACTTCATAAAGTTCATGCAAATGTTAAATTGGGTCATCTGAGCTGAGTGCTTAGCCCAGGACTTGGCCGCACAAGGACCCCACCATCTGTGGAGATCGGCAGAGCTGTCTTTAGGGAAGTCATATTACCTCTTAAGCCTCAATTGTCAAATGGATTCAATTATACTCACCCTACAGGGTTATTATAAGAACCAATGAGACAACACTCCAAAATACCTAAGAAAAAGGGGGTATATAGCTCAGTGGTAGAGCATTAGACTGCAAAATACCTAAGAAATGAATTGTGTATAAAGTATTAACATGATTATGATATATTGTCATATATGGTCTTAGATACTTTGGTCTCAGAGTACTTCATTTTTTATTTCCTTTTTCTTTTATTTTTTAATTAATTAATTTGTCAGAAAGAGAGAGAGCGTGCGCGCACACACATGCAGGCAGAGTGGCAGGCAGAGGCGGAGACAGAAGCAGGCTCCCTGCCGAGCACGGAGCCCGATGCCGGACTCAATCCCAGGACCCTGGGATCATGACCTGAGCCGAAGGCAGCGGCTTAACCAACTGAGCCACCCAGGCGTCCTCCTTTTTCTTGTATAATACCTTTAAGTAATATTAATTTTCTGCCTACAAAGACCCTGCCAACTTTCTGTGATTGATCCAATCGATTACAATGTGCTCAAAACAATGTATGGGCCCGCTAGGCTGTCACTGTCTAGAAGAAATATAGTGGGAGTCACACACATCATTTAAATCTTGGGCACCTGGGTGGCTCAGTCGGTTAAGTGTCTGCCTGCAGCTTGGGTTATGATCCTGGGGTCCTAGATCAAGTCCCGCATCGGGCTCCCCGCTCCATGGGGAGTCTGTTTCTCCCTCTCCCCCTCCCCCTGCTCATGCTCATTCTCTCTCTCTCTCACAGAAATAAATAAATAAAATCTTTAAATCTTCCCGGTAGTCACATTTGAAAGTAAAAAGGAACAGGTGAAATCAATTTTAAGAATATATTTATTTATTTAACGCAGAATATTCAAAATATTATTTCGATGTCTCATCAATATAAAGATTAATATACTATTAATTATAATTATACATGTAATTATAAATAAAATAATTGATGTTTTACATTCTTTCCGTCTATCTTAACAATCCAGTATATGCTATTTTATTTTATTTATTTATTTGACAGAGAGATCACAAGTAGGCAGAGAGGCAGGCAGAGAGAGGGGAAGCAGGTACCCCGCTGAGGAGAGAGCCCAATGTGGGGCTCGATCCCAGGACCCTGAGATCATGACCCGAGCTGCAGGCAGAGGCTTAACACACTGAGCCACCCAGGTGCACCAGTATGTGTTTTATACTTTCAGCACATCTTAATGTGGACCAGCCGTGTTTCTAGGGCTCGATCGCCAGTGCCTACTCTATTATACAGCACAGCTCTAGTCTTCCCCTGAGATAATCAGAGCCTGAAAATAATAATGAGGAGGACGGTGAAGTAATTTTCAAGGCCTATATACCATTCTAAGAATGATGTATTCATCTTGTTTGATAATCACAAGAATCCCTGAAGTGAGTTATCTCTTCTTTCAATGTACAGAAGAGGAAACTGATGCTCAGGGAAGGGACGGGATTTGCCCAAAGTTATCCGGCTAAAGGGACTGTTTGCATATCGGTGAGCACAAGTAGACGGCTGAGGGATACAGCTGGAGAGTGATCCGTCGTCGTGTTCCAGCCCTGCTGGGTCTCCCTTCGTGGAATCTGTGACTGCTCTGTGCTAGACCAGGGATACAGCTTAGATTCCAGCGGGGAGCTCAAGACAAAACTAGTAAACGGGCAAACCAGAGAATTATAAGCGCTGGCCAGCTTTGAAGCAAACAAACAGTTGGGGTCTGAGAGATAGAATATGTGGAGAATATGGGGGGTTGAGAGCATCACGTACTTTAGACTGGGTGGTCAGAGAAGGCTCTGAGGCTGAGACCTAAGAACTGAAGGAAGAGCTAGAGTTGGAGGAACAGCATGTACAAAGGTCCTGGGACAGCCTTTGGAGACTACAAGAAGGTAGCTAGAGCAGCATTAGCTAGGAAGAGAGGAGAAAAGGGGAAGCCAAATAGGCAGGAGCTAGTTCATTCAGGACCCTAAAGACCCTGGGAGGGGTCTTTCATTTGGTTCTCTGTGGGATGACATCATCTGATGTACTTAAAAAAAAAAAAAAAACTCCCTCCAGCAAGCCCTATGGAGAATGGACCATAGTTTGGGTAAAGAGTGGATTTTGAAGAACCAGTTAGGAGGCTGTTATGCTAACAGGACAGAGGCCAAGGCCTGGTCCAAGAAATGGATAATGTTCTGGCCCTTGCACCTTTGCCATTCCTGAGGGAGGGAGTTAGCGTTCTATGCGTCTGCCTCCACAACCCCACTGTGGGCTCCATCACCCAGCTTAAAACCTCCAGTGCCCCACACAGGTCCTGGTAGACGGTACACTTGCAATAAATGCTTATGACGTTGAAGGAATTACCCCAGGGGTATATAGTTAATCTAGAAAAGACCCTTTCCCAAGTCAGAGCTCAGACTTTCTGCCAACAGATCAATTTTAAGTGCATGGTTTTTGTTGATTATTGTTTTAATGTGACTGTGAAAATAATTTAGGCTCTTCATTAAATATATTCAAGTATTTTAGAAATTCGTGAACTAGAAAAGCAGAATTCTCTTAGAATTCTGCCCTCTAAAGCAGACCACCAGCAAAAATAGGTGCAATTTCTTTCGTAGTCACTTCCTCCCCCATCCCTATCTCCGGTATTAGGATTATGGTGTCGACGGTACTCGTGCATTTTCTACTCAGCTCTATCTTGGATTTTTCCCCTCCATGGTGATATAGCAAACCTGCTTCATTTTTTTTTTTTTTTTCCCAACCGGCCAGTCAAGCTAGCCAACTGTTTTCCTCGTCTAATGGTGAAATCTCCTAGTGACACACGTTCAGAGTATACAAAAATGCTCCCTCTTTCAGTTGTTTTTCTGTCTGTATGAGGAATAAGGCTGAAATCATGTTTTGTCTACAGGAGGCTTTTTTTTCTGACCTGGAGAACAATGGTTAAGTCAACCGGCAAGAAGCAGAAGTGTGATAATCGTGTTAGCCACACTGCAGGCGAGGTCTCTTAGGGCTTTTCTTTTCCTTTGCTTACCTGGATCCCCCACCTCTCCAGGCGAATCCCTTTTCTCCATACCATGTGATTACTTCCTCCCCGGCACCCTGGCTCCTGTCCCTCTGTCCAGTAATTAGCCTGCCCCATCTGATGCTTTTGTTTGCCCTCCCTGCATGCATTCTAGCCATCGGGACCCTGGGAAAAGCTAAGTTCCTCCCCCTTTGTAAACACAAAATCAAAATGCCATCTGCATTTCTTGAGAAACATTTTTTTTTTTTTGACAAAAGAGTATCTCAGAGAAATCAAACCATCCTGGCCCCAGCAAATAGTTTCACTCGTTCAGTAAATATTCCCAGTCACTGCCTTTATGATTTTTATTGCATCTTTATCTAATGAATACAGGGCACTGACTACAAATTGGTATTTAAAATATTTATGATTCAATATAGCAGAGGAATGAGCTCAGGGTTCTTTTTCTTTTTATTCCTCTCCTGTTATTTTCAGAGTGCCAAACATGCTGTATATTGTTTGGATCAGTCAAAATTTTTAATTTCTGGTTGGTCCAGAAAAGTCGAAGACAAGGGACTATTACAGATCTGATCATCATCTTCAATTACCTGATGCCCTTGTGTGTCTCCCCAGTCCTGCGTTCATAGAAGGGCTGTTTGAACAGTAAGGAATCAGGGTGGGGAGATGTAGGACTCAGTGTCCTGAAAGGGACAAAAGTCATAGAGAAAATAAGGAAAACAGTGTGCATTTGCAGTGTTACAGGCTTGAAAAAGACACTGTCCTGTAGGTGATGTCTGCTGACCGTTGTCACCCTAACTGCCTCAAGTAGAGCAGGCAGCCAGCCTGGCAGCCAGATTTCAGACTCTCTTCCTGGTTCTGTCCTCTGGGCCATGGAGGGTGACCAGACATCTGCTGGTGATCACAGACTCCTTGGCCTCTCCAGCTGGGGTGATGGCGAAGGCACAGTCGGGGGGGACCGTTTCCTCTCTAGTCCGTTCATTCTCTGAGGGACTCGTGCTTGTGTTCTCCCCCCAGACCTCTGTCTCTTACTGCAAGCAGAGAAACAACATCTGTGCCCAAGCCGGGTTTCTGTCCAAAACCCAGAGAGGATTTTTCAGTGTCGCTGAAACGGGACCTGCCCCAGGTAAGCAGCCAGCCACCTGGCAAGGGCCTTGACCTCAGGGTTAACGTACCAGATTGGCTCTGTGGGGCACCATGGCTTCATAGAGAGTCTCTTTGGAAAGAGTTCGGCTTTGGAGGAAGCGGGGATGTTGAACAGGTGTTGAACAAAAAGGAGAAAGCTGAGGAAAAGACCGGGTCTCCCACTTTGAGGAAACAAGGGCTGTTCTGGAAATGGCCCCAAAGCAGCCTCATTGCCCTCCCTTTTCATGACCAGGCACATCTGCTCTGGGCGGCCAGATGGGGAAGTGGCTTCTCAGCACAGAAGGGTGCACATCCCCGTGCCCCAGGTGTCCCTACAGTCTCTGGGGGTGTGTGTGGTGGGGAGGGTGTACTCAATACACTGAGTGTCCAGACCCTTCCTTTCCTCCTGAGCCTAGAGGGCACTTTGTCAGTTAGTCACCAAGCACTGGAAAATGGCTCCGTTTACTCAGAGCCTACTCCGTGCTAAGAATTTTCCACGCAGTCTTCGCACATCTGTCTTCCTTGGCTTGTACTCTTAGTGGGGCTTTTCTGGTGAGGAGAGGGGGCTCAGAGAGTGGTAGTGACCTGCCCCGCATCACACAGCGGACGGACAGCAGGCCTAGGCCCAGAGGTGTCTCTCTGAGGAGACTATTATCCCAGACAGCCCACAGTGACTTCTGAAACGGTCCCAAGAGCTGGCCTGCAAGTGTTTTCCTCTCTGGGCTGGGAGAGCTATTGCTCCGTCCTGTTCTCTCAGACCTGCTCCCCGCTTCCAGCCTCAGTGAAAGGTTTCCAGAGAGGTCAGGCGATGCCGCCATTGGCATTCTGGGAGCCCTCGTCAGAGCAGAACTTCCCAGTGGGTCCTGCAGATCCCCCTGTCCCCCCAGCAGGGAGCCTGGAGCCCCAGAGCTGAGGGGAGGAGCAGGGAGGGTTTGCCTGCGCAGTCACACCTCTTGGAGGCGGGGTGTGGATAAAATTGCAGGCCTGTCCGATTTCATCAAATCCAGATTAAAGTTGAGAAGATCAGTCTGAAGCTGAATAACAAAACCAGCCCTAATTAGGAGGCTAAACCCAGGCTAAAGCTCCCCTGGCTTGCATCATCAGAGGCAAAGCCCCACCTTGTTTATTTATACAGAACAAAGCCCGCATCCCCGGGAGTCTGGCCAGAGGCCCTGCCCGTGAGCCCTGGGATGTGGGCACCTTCCCAGCCCGCCACATGTGCCTGCTCCTTCTAGGAGGATCCTCAGGGGTCCCCAGCCCCTTATCCTGGAGCAGGGCGGGGAGAGGTGGGTACCAGTGCGTGCTAAACTACTACTGTGTGCCAGAGGCTTTACGTTTCTCATCGAATGATCTCCAGACCCTGTGGAGATTGTGGCCGGCACACAATCGTGTGCTCAGAAAGCATGAGCTACTGCTATTATGGGTCCCCATTGTACAGGCAAAAATGATGCCCAGGGTCCCACCAGTGGATTGGAGTCCGGGCCCTTCCCACTTCATGCCTGGTGGCTTAGTCACTCCCCACCCAAAATTTGCCTGGGGAATCTGCGACAAACAATCGGTTTTGACCTCTCAGAAATGACTCCAGTTGTTCCTTCTCCTCCTGGGAGGGTGGGGGTGGAGTGGGGGGAGCAGGGGGGCAGATGTGGAGCTGTAATTGGCGCCCTCTGCTGGGTCCCTGGCCCTGGCCCAGCTTCTCTGGGGACCCCTTCCTCAGACGCTAAGGGTCAGGACTGGCCTACCTTCAACTCTGAGGAAAATGCTCACTGTCACACATCTGTTGGGTTTTCTAGTTTCCACCTGCCAAGCGTGTCACAAATGTCCTCCTCTCTATTTTTCCTTAAAATAAAATTTTTAAAAAGGCTATCAGGCTAGGAGGAAAGGCCAAAGTTAAAATGTCACTTGAAAAACATGGGTTTCAGAATAGGAATTACACTGTGAGATCCACACCGCGTTGTCTTCCAAACACACTCAGGAAAAGACGAGAAGGAAATACACCAGCAGTTATCTTTGTTTCTCTCTGTGACGCGGGAGCATGAGTGTCTTTTTCTTCTTCCTTCTGCTTTTCAGCATGTGATAATCAAGTGATTGCTTTAACCTTTCTGTGGATGGGAAAAAAAATACATTTGTATATGTATAAATATATACATATTTACATGTTCATGAGAGAAAAAGAAACAAACTATGAGAAATGTATACCAATATTACAAAGGCTGCTAATTGGACATTTGCCTTTTGCTAACCATATATTGGGAACATCTTTTCATGTTATTAAAAACCCCCATAAGAATATCATTTTGAGACGGACTTATGGTATTCCATTGGATGGTGGTACCATAAGTTAAGGACCAAATGGCCTTTTATTGAAAATGTAGGTTGTTTTATTTTTTTTAAAAATTTTAAAAGATTTTATTTATTTATTTGACAGACAGAGATCACAAGTAGGCAGAGAGGCAGGCAGAGAGAGAGGAGGGGAAGTAGGCTCCCCCTGAGCAGAGAGCCCGATGCGGGGTTCGATTCCAGGACCCTGAGATCATGACCTGAGCTGAAGGCAGAGGCTTTAACTCACTGAACCATCCAGGCACCCCGAAAATGTAGGATGTTTTAAACTGCTCACTATAGGGGCGCCTGGGTGGCTCAGTGGGTTAAGCCTCTGCCTTCGGCTCGGGTCATGATCCCAGGGTCCTGGGATAGAGCCCCGCATCAGGCTCTCTCCTTGGCAGGGAGCCTGCTTCCCTTCCTCTCTCTCTGCCTGCCTCTCTGCCTACTTGTGATTTCCTACTTGTGATCTCTGTCTGTCAAATAAATAAATAAAATCTTTAAAAAAAAATAAACTGCTCACTATATAAATAGACAACAAACATCCCTGTAGCTCCCAGCTTGTGTACAATCAAGATTATTTCCTTATATTAATTGCTTAAATTGAAATTGCCAAGTCATATTTCAGTGTTGTTTTTTCTCTTTTATATCGGTGACCAAACTGCCCTTCAGCAGAGAGGTCATTTATCCTCCTGCTTCTACGAGGCACCTGTATCTCCTCACCTTTGCCACCACTGGGTACGATCACTCAAAGAGCATCTTGCTAATACGTTATCTTGCTAATACCCCCTGTTGTTTTCAGTACACTTGCAATGGAAAAGTACATTTTATTTGAAACAAAATCAATCTTACAATGTTTAGAAAACTTGAAATATTTTTCTCACCCACAGTGCTACCACGTTCGTGGGTTCCCATGTATTTTTGTTCAGACGGATCCATTTGTACCTGGTATATATAGCGACTTTTAGATATTATTTTCACTCACCTCCCTGCCCCCCCCAAAAAAAACATGGCCATGTGGTTTTATGGTCTCCATGTTGATCGTGGCCAGGGCTGACCTTCCACCGGACTGGGCTTCTGGGCCCAGCATGGTGCCTCTGCTTTTGGACCTTCGGGCCACGTACCCTTCTCACACTGCGGCCGCTGCTGTTGTGTACGTCTCTATGTTTAGAGCTTTTCCCCCATATTGACTAATTTCTTTAATTTCTGATAATGGGAAAGCTGGGTCAGAGGATCCAGGCATCCTCAAGACTTCTGGTCAGTACTCCCTCTTTGTACTGCAAAACACCCGTACCCCCGACAGGGCTCCCAACAATTCAGGGGTGAGACTGCCTTCTGTTCCCTCAGCCCAGGACCTTCTCTTCCTCTGTGAAGCTTCATGCACAGCCAATTTTATTTTATTCTCTCAGTTTCTTGAAACAGGGCGTGGTGGGAAAGCGTGGACTTTGGAGACCGGTGGACCTGGGTCCACATAGTAGGTACTCAATAAATATTTGTCGATTGCATAATAGTTACTAAATGACTACCATGTGCCAGGAACTTCAATATTAGTCAACTTTCCTAACCACCATGTTGCTGGAAGAATTATTCTTACCTTATGGAGGAGGAAGCTGGGCTTAGTTCCTAGTTAGATGAAATCTTTTTGACAAATCATTCAATATCTCCAAGTCTCCGTTTCCACCTCTCTGGAATGGAGGTGACAGTGACCCATCTGTTTCCTCGAGGATGAATGTGATTTTCAGTGACTTCACGCAGCCCTTTCATCAGACCACCGTGGAGAGATACCTCCTTATAGTATTAAATGTATTTTTAGGTGTGAAGTAGTAGCTTTTCATTTACTTGAGAAGAGTTTCTTATTCTGTTATTTAAAATGTCTTTCTTCTTAGGACATTATAATATCAACGACTCCCTTGTGAAGCAGTCGCCAAAGGTATTAATGTCTTGTTTTAAATCAAAAACTGAACGTGGATTAAAACTGACATCAACGGGCCCTGGACCTGGTTATTACAACCCCAATGATCACACCAAGATTCTGAAAAAGACTCTTATCCCGTGAGTCCTGATTATTCTGATCTTTCTTTGGAAAGGTGGCTCTGGGGAAGGACCCAACAGCAGCAGAAAAGAAAGGGGTGTCCCTGGTTGGCGGGACACAGCTCCAGGTCCCTCTCTGGGGGCCCTTGTTGACATAGTGGGTGCTCAATAAATACTTACTGAATGCTTGATATTTATTGAGCAACTACTATGTGACGGGAACTTAGCCTCTTCCTCAACCACCATCATGACCCTATTGTAAGAATTATTATTCTCACTCCATAGACTGGGAAGCTGGGCTGCAGTGAGCCCGAGGATTTGCCTGTGGGCACACAGCTAACTTGAAATGACCCTGCGAATCAGGCTCAGGACTGTCTGGATCCTTCCACATCCCTCATGCTGATATGCTATCCTGGTGCTGACATTATTCTATTTTTATAACATAACATCTTTGCTGGGGTGGCAGGATATACAGCAGCAAGGGGCTGTCATAATTTTGTACGGATAGATTGAAAGTCTAGACGGTTGAGTTGGTCATACCTGTCGGATTTGAACTTCAGCTCTGCTGTTTTCATGCTGTATGGCCTAGGCCACTGTACTAAACCTTCTGAGCCTCCATGTTCTCATCTGTGGAGTAAAGTGGGGATAATTCATGCCTTGTAGGGTTGCTTTCAGATCTGATATGTTTGCCGTGGGGTAGGTGCAAATGGTGACAGCATTAGCACACATTTAAAAAGTGAAGATGGGGACTCTTGTTAACATGTTTAATATCCTATGCATTTAATATTACTTTCACCAAACAGGTTCAAGAACTCGCAAGTTTATTTATTCCTCAGATGGTTCTAGAGCTAGAACTAACTGTAAGGTCAGGCTGCCTGTCACCATCTAAGACCTCACCCCAGTATAGTCCTCTCCAGGCAGTACTGGCCCCTGGTGGGGACAGCTGACCTGCAGGGCACTCCCCCACCCCCCACAGGGGTTAGGCAGGTAGCTAGGTTCATACCCACAGCAGGTCAGAAGTCCAGGCAACCGGGAGAGGCTGGCAACGTTGTGCCTCGTCTGACCATCAGCGCAGGACAAGGAGATGGGGTTGGGGAGACACGTCAAATCAGACTTAGGATCTGGAGAAAGAATTCAGACCTCAGATGGAATCCATGGGTAAGTCCCTTCTGTCCTTCAGTTCTTGGGTTCTGTAGATTGGGACCTCACAGGTTCCAGGGCTCAAAACAGGACGGGCTCCAGCAACAGGCTCTTTCTGAATTATCAGGGACTCCGGCCTATGGGTGGGCTTAGGTCACCACTGCGCACCACCTTTCCGCTGCTGTGCCAGTAAAGAAACCTATTACACCCAGTGATTCTTAAACTTGGGTTCCCCCTCGTGAGTACATAACCCCCATTCGGGTTCCTCCTGGTGAGTGCACGGTGCCCAGGACATTTGCATTAATTTCCCCCTTGGTCTGGGGCTGCTCTCAGCACCTTCCTGGGCCTTATCTCTTTAGGTGTGAAAAGAAGGAAAGGTCTTTGCATTTCTGACACTCCAGGACCCTGGGTTTGCTCACCCTATCATTTAGGAGCACATACTAGGGGCAGTGAACATGGAGCCAGCCCACACCCACAAAGGAGGCCCAAAATGTATACATTTGTAATTGACATGGGAAGGATACAGCTGAGAAACCTCTACTTGTACTTAAAAAACAAGAAGATAAAATTCAAGTGTGCTCCAGGGTAGTCTAAACAAGCATCCATCTGTTTATGTTCAATGATGAGGAAATGAATTAATATAAAGCAAAAATACAGCTGAATACCCTGTATTGAGGGATTGTCCAGACTCCAGTCTCTCGAGTTGGAATTGTTTCCTCTCCTGTGTCCCTGAAGGGAAGAGAGGGACAGGAGCGGTGGGAGTGGGTGGGGGGCACCTGCTGGAATCATCAGGCCCTTGACAAGGTTTGCATTGTTTCCTCCCCATCTCTATGTAACTTTGTCGCGACTTTATGCACATCAAGTCTAAGCACAATTCGCTCTCCTGGGCTGCATGGGGCGGTGGCCGAGAACCTGAGAGTCATCACCGGGTGTCCTCGTGGCTAGTGCAAGCAGCCCCGGTGTCATGCCCATGTGACATGATGTGAGGCCTCTCTTTATTGGTCTTCAGTTGCAAGTGCTTGGCTTGTATTTTAGGGGAGGGTCCCAGCTTGCAAAAATAACCTTTTGGCTCTGCTTTCTTGAGGACGCAGGAAGAATCAGAAGATAGCAGTGGTCCCTAAAATTGTTAGTCCCATGTTACCCACCAAAAAAAGTAAAGCCCAGGAGTTGAGGATGGGGTGAGATCCCGGGCGGGCTAGGGAGGCCGACAGGGGGCCAGGCATGGGCTTGTCTCGTCTCTGCTCTGCTCCCAGAGATGACAATGGGCTGCGGAGACGATGTGGCTAGTGGAGGTGTATACACACAGGATCCAAATCAGAGTTGGGCCATTGTTGAACCTCCCACCTTCCCCATCCATCAGTTCTGGGAGCCTGGGGGGGGGGGTCCCTTAACTCCCAGGAATTCAAATTCAATTCTGCAAATTGTGAAATGAACACCACGTAACGTGCTTGGGAGGCTAACATACGATAACCCAGAGAACTCACCGGGTCTGGTTCACGGTAAGATTTTGATACACGGAACTTGTATTTCGTATGTGAGCGGGTCTCCTATACTCACCGACTGCTTATTGAGTGGCCCCTGGAGGGCAGGTGCTGTGCTAAGGGCTGGCAGGAGTTTGGATGACCGTGTCTGGGCTCCCTAGCTGAGGAACAGGGCACAGGTGCCTCTTGGCTGTGGCAACCTTCTGACACAAAGCTAAGAACATTTACCGGCTTGCAGCGAGGGCTTTGGAAGAGACGTGGAGTGTCTGCTTCAGGTCTTCAATACCATCACAGTGATGACTCAGTGAATCAGGGTGAGTCAGGATAAGGGCTTTTTAGAGATCAAACTTGTCCCTCCCAGGCGCTGCCTTCCACGCACAGCAGCGAGGGGAAACGCCCACTGACATCTTTCTAACCCTTGATCTACTTCCTGGAGTTTCTAAGCCCCTGGTTTTGCACAGACACGCTGTCCTGCCACAGCCAGAGCAGAAGAATCAAACCCTGTTGGCCCCGCTCCAATTTGGGTAATTATCATGACCCACCTAAAGTTCCCCTGGGATTTTCAATTAGATACGGGATGCTTCTTCCCAAGCGGCTGTAATCTGTCACCCTCTCCCCTGTTAAACAGATGCTGCATTCCACCCCAGAGGCAACCGGCTGCCCTTTAATGATGAGAAAAAATTGCCCCTTTATCCCTCCCGACCCTGGGAATCCCTGAGGCAGAGTGAATCTGTGCCTGGGAGTGTCCTGAGGGTCTCAGATGCCTTCCCCGAGTGACCTGCTGGGTCCTCCTGAGACATTTATTATTCTCGGGTGATTTGAAAACAGCTCACATTAGGAGCTGCAAACGTACTTAATCCAAGTTGTGGCCAACTCAGAGCCTTTGATAGATATTTTCTTTCTATGAGGCAGGACCAGGTTGGCGTTTATAACTAAGCAATGAGGCTCATAAAAGCCCCGGTCACCATGCACTGAGGGCTGCCCTGGGTCGGATGCAGCCAGACATTTGTGATCTGCCCAGCCCCACCTCACCATGGAGGGAGCAGCCCTGAACGATGATAAAGCTGTCAGGTGGGGTTCAGGTGTCTGGACTCCCCAACTTGGGGCAACCCCTCTGCTTTTCTCTGCAGTTCAGTAAATGTTCTGGGGAATAGGGATGGGTCCTCAAAGATGAGTAAGACGCTGTCCCTGCCTTAAAGAGCTAGGCATGTAAAGAGCATTAGAAAACCTAGCATGTTATGTGCAGCGAAAAGAAGGGCTATAACATATGGAGGGCCCAGCCATGCTGAGCTAAGAGCTTTCATGGGTGCCACCTAGTGTCATGCTCCCAGCTCCCCTGCAGGGCAGTACAGCTACATAGACAGATGAGGGTGGTGGAGCAAGGCGTAGTATGCAGGTCCAGCTGGCTCCAGGACCCATGCTGCTCTGTGGAGCCCCAGGAAGGGCGGTGGGGAATGGGGAGGGCAGTAGCCACAGAAGTTTCCCTGAAGGATGTGAGATGTGAAGCATGATCAGAGTTTGCAGGGAAAGGAGATCCTCGCAGAAGGAACAGCACAGGCAAAGTCAAGGAATGGTCGAACAGTGTTGTGTTGGGGGTTTCTGGAAGGTCAAATGGGAGCAAGGGGCGTCGGGGGTTAGGCTGAATTGAGAGGCCATAAATAGGAGCTATTCCTTTAGCTTCTCATCGGGGTCTGTGAGGGTGGATGGTCAGAAACAGGTGAACATTCTAGAAGTCATGGGTGCATTGAGAGCTGAAGGCCATCTAGGAGACTCGGTGGCCTCTACCCCCCTTATTCCAATTCCTGCCACATACAGCTACAACTCGTGCCTTAAGTATGCTCTTGTCCCTGCTGTTTCCTCTGCGGTAAATGCCCCCTTTTCTACCTGAAGAATTCCTGCTCACCTTTCAGGGCAAATGTTAGCTCTTCTAGGGTAGAATTCTGGATTCACTTAATTGGAATTTCTGCCCCTCCAACCCAGTGCAATGTTTTTATCTCTATTCTAATATTTCATGCTTTAAAAAAATAATACAAGTAAAGTACTAGTTAATCTTCATAAGAATCCTGGATGGAAGGTATTCTTATGCCCCGTGTCACAGAAGAAGGAACTGAACCTCAGGGAGGCTGAGACTTCTCTAAAGTCGCAGAGCTAGTGATGGGGACGTGTGGATTCAAACCCAAGTTTGTCTGGGAGCAAAGCCTATACCTCCTTAAGTTGTCACCAGCCAGGATTGTCACTAGCAGCGGATTGCCAAGCTCTTGGGAACATACAGGGTCTGTGGCTCAGCACAGAACAGTCTGGACTCCCCAGAGTGCCTGGCACACGGCTGCACACGTGGCTGGCACTCTTTAAAGATCCAGAGAGCTGAGCTGCCGGTGCTGGGACTGTTGATGGGGTGGAGGGCAAGGGACCTCTCTAGGCCCTCCTGCCAAGAATTCTGATGAGAGGGGCGCCTGGGTGGCTCAGAGGGTTAAGCCTCTGCCTTGGGCTCAGGTCATGATCTCAGGATCCTGGGATCGAGTCCCACATCGGCCTCTCTGCTCAGCAGGGAGCCTGCTTCCCACTCTCTCTCTCTCTGCCTGCCTCTCTGCCTACTTGTGATCTCTGTCTGCCAAATAAATAAAATCTTAAAAAAAAAAAATTCTGATGAGACACTGGCCCCGCCTCCTGCAGGCTGTTTCCGGTTAGGAGAGTAGACACCTCATGGCTGTCTCGAAGAATGGGGCCTGGGGGTGACCTAGACCGCTGGGGTGACCTCATGCGGTGGTTGGCTCGCTCCAGCTCCAGCTTTTAGGACTCAAACCTGTCTCTCAGTGATGCCGGTCCCACACTCATCAAATTTCTGGGGGTGCTTTGAAGGGGTGACACAAGCCAGAACAAGGCGGAGCCCGCTTTTATTTCTGAGGGGAGAGGTGGTTGATCACACACTATAACCTGTTCTTCCATGTCGGCTGGAGGGGAAGAAAGAGGCATGGTTTTATTCTCCTTTTCCTGTGGGTACCTTTGTTCTAAGCACAAGCATCCCAGCCAGCTGTTCTGCGTGAGACACGAGCCCCAAGTCGATTCACTGTGACTTCCAACGGCCTGGCAGTGGGAGTGGCCAGCCTGCTTCAGGGTGACTCTATGCAAGGGGGCCCCCAGCCTCTCTTCCTGAGGCTCCGTTGCTCCCCTGAGACCAAGCGGCAGGCCAAGTCTTGCTCTGATCATCCCACTAACAACATCTGCTTTTTTGTTTTAGTTTTTGAAGATTTGATTTATTTATTTGAGAGAGGGAAAGAAAGAGAGCATGACTGGTATGGGGAGAGGCAGAGGAAGAGGGAGAAGCAGACTCCCTGCCAAGCAGGGAGCCCAATGCGGGACTCGATCCCAGGACCCTGGGATCACGACCCAAGCCCAAGGCAGACACCCAAATGACTGAGACACACAGGCGCCCCCACAATATCTGCTTTTATTGAGCATTTACTGTGGGCTCCACTCATCAAGTGCCTTACAGAGAGAGGGTGCCGTTCCTCCTTGCTGCGGGCACAGAGAGGTCGAGGGACTTGTCTGAGGTCTCACAGTCAGTAAGTGGGATGCCTGGAATTCAGATGCAGGTCTGTGGCTCTAAATCTCCAAGATTCCCCTCTGCTGTGATGCTTTCCCCAAACCGCCAGCCCCTTGAGAGTTGAGTTCAGTGCTGGCGGTACTACCCATGGGCTCCGTGACTTGGGGCAGGGTTGGGGGGGGGGCGGCTCATTTTCTCTCTCTCTGGGCACCAATTTCTTTAGCACAATGAGGAGGTTGGATAAGACATCGCTGGGTCCCCTTGAGGTCTCTGAGTTTAAAAATGCCCTCACTTCCAAAGGTGTTGGCCAAAGGGCAGCAGGGTAGCAGTGGCCAGGAATCCCGGTCCCCTCCTCTGTTTGGGTGGGCGGCCTTCCAGCTGGGGTGAGTCTCCTGTGGCTGTTCAGTGCTGCGAGGACTTTCCCTTCCCTTTTAGTGAAAGACCTTAGACGAAGCCTCAGGTGAAAGGTGGGAGTGGGCAGCCCTTCCATCGCATGGCAGGGAGAGGGGTGTGATTCCCCGAACAATCCCAGAGTTCCCTGGGCAACTGGCGGACCTCCCCAAACCACAGCCTGGTGGATGATCACAGTTGGAAGGGGTTATCGTGTCCAATTTCCTCATTTCGCAGATGGGGAGACTGAGGCCCAGAGTGAATTCGTGACAGAGCTAGGGCTCAGGCGCCTTTCCATTCATCCACCTTTCTTTCTTCTTTTTTTTTTTTTAAATTTTATTTATTTATTTGACAGACCGAGATCACAAGTAGGCAGAGAGGCAGGCGGTGGGGTGGGGGGTGTGCAGGGGGGAAGCAGACCCCCTGCTTAGCAGAGATCCCGATGTGGGGCTTGATCCCAGGACCCTGAGATCATGACCTGAGCCGAAGGCAGAGGCTTAACCCATTGAGCCACCCAGGCGCGCCCCCATTCACATGTACTCTCTCCATGATGGACCTAAAAGACTCCTTTTCCTGAAGGGCAAGGGTCATAAACTTGAAAAGGAACAATTCCAGTGTGAGTGGTAAGCGCGAGGCAGAAGGCTCTTGATTTCCAACCAAGTGTTTGTCTACTCCCATATCCTGCCTTGCCGGGAGGATATAGTAAGATCCTGAAACGTCTGTGCTGGCCAGGTCTCTTGAGATCTGCTCATCTTGGGAGGGCAGATCCCTGGAATTCAGGAGGCCTCGTCCCATTTCCTGATCGGTTCAGCAGCAGCATCTCTAAAGCACCTGCTGTGCTCTCACTCTGTGCTGGGTCCTGCCCTGCCCACTGTTGGAGAGACGTCCTCTCCTTGCTCCCTGGGGCTGGTCCCGTGAACCCGCCATTGTGCAGAAGGGAGAAGTGAGGTCCGGGGACCCCCAGCTCAAGAGCCCCAGAACCACGCTCCACCCGGGCCTTCTGGTGCCTGTGCTCTCCCCATGCGGACACCTCAGTGTGGGCCAGGTCTTGGCTTGGCCTAAAAACAACTGTTTCCCCGATAGACTGCTTGAGTGCTAGCTTCACATTTTGTCTTTTTTTTTTTGAAGGAGAAACCCCATCCTGAACTTCTCGGCGCAGCCTTTGCCCCTGCCCCCGAAGCCGCCCCTCCCGGGCCCCGGGCAGTATGAGATCGTGGACTACGCAGGGCCCCCCAGACACTTCATCTCCAGTGCGTCATTTGTGTCCAACACCAGCCGGTGGACAGCGGCCCCGTCCCAGTCAGGCCTGCCAGGCCCAGGTCAGAGGAGTGTTTGAAATGACTATAAAAACCAAATCTGGAATTGTCATTCCTGGGCCATCAAATATCACTGATTTATGGGCTGTTTTCCAAACAGGTTACAGAGGCTTGAGTCCATCTGGAAGACCTTGTAGCTTGTCCTTTTGGAGTATGAAAGAAGTTTTTTTGTTTTTGTTTTTGTTGTTTTTTTTTTTTTTTTCAAAGATTTTATTTATTTATTTGACAGAGAGAGATCTCAAGTAGGTGGAGAGGCAGGCAGAGAGAGAGAGAGGAGGAAGCAGGCTCTCCACTGAGCAGAGAGCCCAATGCGGGGCTTGATCCCAGGACCCTGAGACCATGACCCGAGCCGAAGGCAGAGGCTTTAACCCACTGAGCCACCCAGGCGCCCCTGTTTTTGTTTTTTTAAGGTGGAAGGTGTCTTAGAGTTAATCCAGGCCAGAGATTCATAACCAATGACCATGGATGTCCCAGAGGCTCAGAGATGGGCTCTAGAGGGGTCTGTGACCCTGAAATTGCTTGGAGACTTGGAGCATGAAGACACTAATTTTTGGAGAAAGGGGCCGTAGCTTTTATGAGGTTGTCCAACATTTGTGTGTTCTTAGAAATGCTTAGCCCCCTGGCCTGGTCTGGCCGAATCACTTGACAGCTGGGGAAGGCCTGGAGAGCAAGGTGTGCACCGAGCCACAGTGCGGGAGGGGCAGACAGAGCCGTGGGCTGTTTCCCCTCCATGCTCTGTTGTGACGAGGCACGCGGGGCTATTCCCTGGGGCAGTTCCCCAGAGCTATCTAGGTTTGTGCCTTTTCCAGATGGCTGACTCGGGGGGACCCTGTCACCTCTGGGACCTACCTGAAAGTTAACAGTGTGAGGGACCTTCTCCAGTGGCTGGTCTCTGTACTCCATGACCTCTTCATAGCTCTCCTAGAGCCCCTCAGCCGCTTGCCACCCCCTGATGTCAGCCAGAGCTAGTGGACCTGGGGACAGACAGGTGTGCTAGCGGGCTGGCAGCGTGAGAGGGGGAAGGCAGAGCTGAGGGGGCTGCAGGTCTGTGTAAGTCAGTCTTTCAGTGAGGACTGGTGAGGCTCCCACCCTGGGGAGACAAAGGTCACCTAGCTCGGTGCTTACCACCAGGGATGTCAGTCTGGTAGGGGAGATACCCTCCCCTTCACGCATACGAGTGAGTAAAACATCAGGGGGACAGGACAGGGAAAGCGGATCTTAGAGCTTCGGAAATGTACAAACAAAGGATAATCAAGTCAAGAAGACTGCAGAGGTTGGACCTGGGGGTCACTGGTCAGCTCAGGCAGAGCTTAGCTCCATATGCACAGTGGGCTCCAGGAGGCCCGGGGCCCAGCGAGGATCCTCGTCTGCACGTGTGTGGCCCAGGCCTCTAGAAGGTTTTCCTGGGGGGTCTTCTCCCTGCAGCACACGGTGTGGGACACCTGGCACCTGGGCGCAGGCCACTTCCCGCTGCCATGATCACCCGCAGCGTGGGCTTCCCTGGGGGGCGGGGCTGGGAGTAAGCCCCACGCAAACATCGGCCTTCTTGCTTCCGGGGGGGCTGCCTGGTGCTCCCGGGGGCTTGGACCCCCAATAACCAAATCAGCATCCCTCTGGGAGTTTCCATTCACCCCGGGTGTGGTCCTGGCAGCTGAATCTCCTAGAGAAAATGTGGCTGCAGTCATCATGGCTTTCACTTTTCTGGAAATTTCTTTCTTTTTTTAAGTAGGCTCCACGCCCAGTGTGGAGCTTGAACTCACCACCCAGAGATCCTGACTCACAGGCTCTGTCAACTAAGCCAGCCAGGCACCCCTTCTGGAAATTTCTGAACGAAATGAAAACAAAACCCCACCACGTTGACACCTGGCTTCTTTAAAAGTATTGCTTTACTCAGTTGTTTTTTCAAATCTGATAGAAAACTCTTTGGCGAATTTTTCTTCTGTTAAAGAAGTTGCAGGGAGTTAAAGAAGGCCAAAAGCCAGAGTTCAAGTCCAGCATCAGCCGGACCAGGCCCTTCCCCTCCCCGCCTCCCCATGTGTGAGACACAGGGGCAGGACAGGGCTACCCCAGCATTGCCAGCTCTGATGTAGAATGCCAGGGGCTCGAGCAGCTGGGCTTTGCATTCTTAATTCTCTCTCTCTCTCTCTCTCTCTCTCCCTCTCTTGCCTCACAGCCACGTACAGGCCGGAATTCCCTGGAAAGCAGTCCTTTCTCTACAACGAGGACAACAAATGGATCCCGGTGCTGTAGGGCCCTCACACAAGCTCAGGGAGGACCCTGGCCATCAGCTGCCCCACCCAGGATCGCTGGGACGTTCATTCAGAGAATGTTCATTTCGTGTAGGACGGATGACTCCCCGTGGGCAGCTCTGCACCCCTCCCCTACGCCCCAGCTGCTACTGAGCTGGGCTCCTGCATTTGTCCTTGTCTTGAGCTGTCCCCTGCAGACTGGACCTCCATGTCTACTGACTCCAGTGGTTTGTTTCCTGAGCAGAAATGAGGAGTGGACAGAGCCTCTCTTGTTTACCTCGCCATGCACCTGTCCATGCTGGCTTCCGCGGGCCTCCCCGCGGATGTAAGGGGCTGCTGAGCTCAGACTCCAGCGAGAAGGCGGCCAACAGCAGATTCCCTGTCTAGATGCCTGATGCTGAGCCGTGGCTCTGGGCTCCAGAGCACACCTGCAGGATGGACCACACAGGATCGCAGCCCAGGCACACTTGCATCATTCAGCCTTGACCCCGAGATGTCCCCTGGAGTCTCCGGAGCTGGGAAGGCCCAGAGGCGCTTGTGATAGACACGGAAGGATTGCCTGGGCCCTCACCTCCAACTAGATCTTTGTATCTCCCATTTAGGAAGAGCACGGCAGCCAGTCACTGTGGTCACTTGTGCTCATTACCCACCTTCCGGAGGGGCCACCGCATCCCCTGGGTGGCTCAGTATTCGGCAGCCCACATGGGCAGGAGGCTGCTGGAACCAGGGCCCTGGAAACTGTGATTCTGAGGGGCAGGGAGGCCACATACCACTTGGTGCCTGTGGGTCCTTTCTTTCCCGGGGACTTCCCTGTCCCCAGGCCTGGCCTCTTTCTCCTTCCAGACCTGCTGCTCCAGCTTGACGCAGTCTTCGGTGGATCTTTTCTGGCCTGCCAAATCGGCTTCCTCCTGGCAAAAGGAAGAGATTTCCAAAGAACCAAGGGGAGCTGGAACTGAGCACTTGCCCCAAATACCGATGTTCACGTCTGACAGAGCAAGGCTCTGCTGCAGCCTCCTCCCTGCTCCCCACACAGTCAAGGCCTCTGACTCCCTGGGCCCCACCTCTGACTTTTCTCTGTGACTAGAGAACGGTTTTCCTGTCCGAATGGCCGCTGACTCGCCCTCCCTTTGGGGGCAGGTGGGTGAGGAAGAGGGAGGGAGATGGATAGAATACCACATCCAATTAAACTGAATTCTTGCATCTCACGAAAGCTGGCCTTTTTGTGAACCCCAGATTCCCGCCAGTGCCCGCTGCTCTGAGATGAGCAGGAGGTGGCCTGGAGCTCCTGGCAAAGCACCATGCAAGGCTGGACCTCGAGGCAGGATGGCTTGGGCTCTCCTTCTGTCAGGTCCGTAGCTTTTCCTTGAAGGAAAAGAGTTGGATTCGAATTCCGGGGCTCCAGGTCAACACTTTCAGGGGTTGGCAGGTAGTATGTGGAGGAAAGTAGGTAAGGCCGGTATGGGGAGTGGGAGCCGAGGCCGCCCGTCTAAAGGGACATCCAGTAAGTCTCCAGCTCACTGTGGCCAGATCTTCAGAGTTTCAACAGAAATCTGGAAGTCCTTAAAATGTGAAATCTTCTGATTGGAGATGTTGACAACCATCTTTCAACTTGAAATTTTTTGTTGAGGCTAAAGGAAACTTCTGCAGGCCATCCATTGTCCACTTGGGTTGTAGAAATTCTGGAAGACCCTTTTGAAGTTGGCATTTGATGCTGTACCTTTCTTTGACCCCAGACTCTGGACAATGGGGCCAGACCCCAAAGCCTTGGTTTTTAGGTCCCTCTGACCCTGGGGGACCTTTAACAGATGCTTGGGCTGGATGCCGCCAGCCCTGGGGTCTCTGTGCGCAGAGTCTGGGAAATGCATGGGAAAACGAGTCGGGTCTCTCTAGCCCTCGGGCAGCTGGGCTGCGCACTGGCAGGTAAGGGCTGTCTCTCCAGAGGAGCGCCCTCCACATGGGGTCAGGAAAGAGGGAACTCTGCGGAAAAAATGGCAGGGCTGTGCTTGGCCAGTCTGAATCTGGCTTTTGTTGAATACATGACGAGTTGAGGCCCTGAGCTCAGAGGGTCTGTCTTGACCATATCTAGCCTCTCGTAATGTGTCATGAGCTGCCTATAGCTCTGTCCAGACTCTGGCCATATGTCAGGATCACCTTGGGAGCTGTTAGAGAAAAAGGCTGCCCAGGCCCGGACCCTCAGAGTTCTGATGTAATTGATCTGAGGTAGGGTCTGGGCCTTGGTATATGTATTGATGTTCTCAGCAAGACGATAATGTATCTAGTTAGGGTTAGGGCACACTGATCCTTTTTTTTTTTTTTTTTTATTCATTTATTTGGCAGACAGAGATCACAATTAGGCAGAGAGGCAGGCAGAGAGAGAGAGAGAGAGAGAGAGATTGGAGGAAGCAGGCTTCCTGCTGAGCAGAGAGTCCCACTCAGGGCTCGATCCCAGGACCCTGGGATCATGACCCGAGCCAAAGGCAGAGGCTTTAACCCACTGAGCCACCCAGGCGCTCCCACACTGATCCTTTTAATAAAGTATTTTCCAAATGTTAAAGTGCATGCCAGTCACTTGGATAGTTATTAAAAGCCAGATTCTATAGGTCTGTGGTGGGGCCTGGGAGCCTGCCTGTGATTTTCAATTTTTTTTTAAAGATTTTATTTATTTATTTACTTATGTTTAAAGATTTTATTTATTTGACACGTAGAGATAGATCACAAGTAGGCAGAGAGGGAGGCAGAGAGAGAGAGGGAAGCAGGCTCCCCGCTAAGCAGAGAGCCCAATGTGGGGCTCAATCCCAGGACCCTGAGATCATGACCTGAGCCGAAGGCAGAGGCTTTAACCCACTGAGCCACCCAGGCGCCCAAGATTTTATTTATTTTTTTTGAGAGAGAGAGAAAGAGAGAGAGAGAGAGCATGAGAAGGGGGAGGGTCAGAGGGAGAAGCAGACTCCCTGCCATGCAGGGAGCCCGATGCAGGACTCGATCCTAAGACTCCAGGATCATGACCTGAGCTGAAGGCAGTCACTTAACCAACTGAGCCACCCAGGCACCCCATCATTCTCAATTTTTTAAAAAAATTGAAATATAATTGACATACAACATTGTATTAATTCGAGGCATAAGTGTTTCTAACGAGCCCTCAGGCGATGCTGATCCTGCTAGTCCCTGGACCACACTCAGGGTAGCGAGGGTCCGATAAATATACTTAATTACTCAACTCTGGCCTTCCATTTATTCGTTCATCTGCTGTTTGCCTATTTGCCTTCCTTCTTCCCCCCTCTTTCTTTTCCTCCCTCCCTTCTTCCTCCTGCTTCCTCCTCATCCCTCATGCCTGCTTTCCTCCTCCATCCCTTTCCCCCTCACTGGGTACTTGTTTTCCAGGAGAACACCACCAGGCAGGGGACGCCCTCTCCACCAGCGGACGGCCACCTTCCCAAAGTGACTCCCGTTTGGAAAGGACTTACCTTCACTCCTTCCCCCTTCGACTCTTTGAAGCAAAAGACAGTCCTAGAACAGAGCTGTTGGGCTCAGGAGGCATCCTTGGCCCCTGACTTCTCAGAGGGCAGGTCTCTCTCTGAGGTCCAAATGGCCCTTGAAGGCACTAACAGCCCTGGTCTCATCATCTGGTGGCTGTGATAAGGAGAACTGAGCCCTGGTGGTTTTCCTGCAGCTGCTGGATGGCGGGCGTGGGGCTGCCTGGCTCCCTTCCTGAGCTCTGTGGCAGGCTCTGCACGGATACGGATTCCTTGTCTGTATGAGTCCAGCCAGACCCTGGCAGATGACAAAGGCTTAAAGGCCTATATAATTATGGCGTCTCTAGAGCGGTGGTTCTTGACCTTGACTACACACTATAATCACCAGGGGTGGGGTGGGGTGGGCGGGGGCTTTAAAAAGTTCTGAGGTCTGGGTCCACCCCCAGAAATTCTGATTTGAATGCTCCAACGTGGGGGCACCTGACTGGCTCAGTTGGTAGAGCATGTGACGCTTGATCTCGGGGTTGTGAGTTCGAGCCCCACATTGGGTGTAGAACTTACTTAAAAACAAAATTTTATTTTATTTTATTTTGCTCTAAGATTTTATTTATTTATTTATTTGACAGAATGAGAGAGAGAGAGAGACAGCAAGAGAGGGAACACAAGCAGGGGGATTGGGAGGAGAGAAGCAGGCTTCCTGCTGAGCTGGGAGCTCTATGTGGGGCTCGATCCCAAGTCCCCAGGATCATGACCTGAGCTGAAGGCAGGTGCTCAATGACTGAGCCACCCAGGAGCCCCCAAACAAATAAAATTTAAAAAAAAATAGATAAAGAAATGCTCCAGGCCGTGGGGTCTGGGCAGTGGGGAGGGGGTAAAAGCTGCCCAGGTGATTCCAAAGGGCAAACCAAGGTGGAGAAGTGCCACCTGCCTGCTCCCCAGCTGCTGCTGGGAGGGGAGCTGGCAGGAAGCTCAAGAAGGAAGGAAATGAACAGGTGCTGAGCACCCCTGGTGCTCCTGGCAGGGTGCTGACCCTCCACACACACCCATCCTCCTGCGTCATCCTGCACTGACAGCTTGGGTGATGTCATAGCCGTAGTGAGGCCTGGATGGACGCAGGCACTTGGATGCCTACAGCGTCCCTTGAGCTGTGCCATGTGAGCCGTATGGGGGTCTGAGGCCCCAGGAGACACCAGTAATACTGATCCAGGCATCAAATGGTAATATTTTGTTCATCGTGGATTTTTTTTTTTTTTTGCTTTTATAAAAAACCAAACCAAACAAAATTTTGCATTGGTTTGTCTTAATTGCTGAGCTCTTGACTCCTCCTAAATTGTGTGCCTGAGATTTGCTGGCCTGACCCTAGTCCTAGCCTCAGCCCTGACTCCAGGCCGCGTGGCAGGAATTAGGACCACAGGCTCTGACTGTCAGAGCTGAGGGCCTCTTGGAGGCATCTGTGGCTTACAAATGTTTTAAAAGTTTTGTTCAAACAAAAGCTGATCTGCCATGAATGAAGTCAGGAGGGTCCTCAGGGTTGCAGCTGTCCCCTCCCCCACATCGAAGGGGCCTCAGAGACCCACCAATCAGCTCCGGGACTCTAACGAT